TGAATAGGACCCCGTCATAAGTTGGGAACTACCCATGTGTCTGTGAGGTCCAGTTGGTTCATAGTATTGTTTAGGTCTTCTGTGTCTTTGTTGATTTTTCTCTCTGCTTCTATCATTGAAAGTGGTGTGCTAAATTTTCCTATTACTGTAGATCTATCTCTCTTCAATCCTGATAGAATTTGTTTTTTAAGTTTCCAGAGCTGTGGCATTGAGTGCAGAAATTGTAATTGTTATGTCTTTTTGTGAATTGACTCTTTAGTCATGATATAGAATCCTTTTTGTCTGTTACAGTGAATTTTGACTTAAAGTCTATTTTGTCAGATACTAATATTTCCACTTCTCTCTTTTTGTTATATTTACTTGGTATATATTTTTTTACCACTTTATGTTTTTGTATCTCTTGTAGACAACATTTTGATGGTCATTTTTTTTTTTTTTTTAAATCTGTTCTGCCATTCTGTGCCTCTTGGCTGGTACATTTAATTCATTTACATTCAGTGTGATAATCGGTGAATATGGATTTACTGCTGCTATTTTGTTACAGTTTCTGTTTTGATGTTAATGATTTGTTTGTCTTTACTTTATATCATGTGGTCTTTTTGTATATGGCTCCCCCCCTTCATTCATTATTGTTATTTTTGTGTTTACTGAATTTTTGATTTTTCTCCTTTTGGTGTATACATTTTTTACTTTGTAGTTATTATATTGGAATATACATTTATCATCCTAAATTTAAAACAATCTGTTACATCTTGAGATTACCTTGACTTCTCTTCATATGGAAGTTCTATAACTACATTATTCTTTCCTGCTTTTGTTTTGAAGTTATTGTGGTTTACATGTTTGTATCTTTGGTTCCCTTTAATCAGTTTTGTAGCTTTATTTTACTTTTTTGTAGTCTTTACCTGGGTTGGTGTCTGGGTGATGCTGTCATATGTCTTTATGTGAGGTTGTTGTGTGATGCCTGGTTTTCTATTGAAAGGACTCCCTTTAATATTCCTTGTAGAACTGGGCTTGTAGTTACACATTCCCTTAATTTCTGCTTAAATGGGAACATCCTAATTTCGCCCTCTTTCTTGATCATGGTTTTGCTGGATTTAATTCTTGGTTGACAGTTCTTTTCTTTTAGAGCTTTGTATATGCCAACCCATTGCCTTCCTACCTGTGTGGTTTCTGATGAAAAGTCTGTGCTTAGTCTTATAGGGGTCCCTTTGTAAGTGACATTTCACTATTTTCGAGCTGTTCTCAAAATTCATTCTTTGTCTTTTGTTCTGGGAAGTTTGGTTATGATGCATCTTGGTGAGTTTCTTTTGAGATCTATCCTATATGGAGTTCGTTGTGCTTCTTAGATGGAAATCTTTTCTTTCATGATCTTTGGGAAAGCTTTGACACTACATTCTCAAAAATTCTTTTTGTGTTCTTTTTTTCCCCCCTCCTCCCCTTCTGGGATTCCTAATTTGTACATGTTATTCCTCTTAATGGTATCCCACTTAACCCTTAGGCTTTCTTCATTTTTCTTCTACCTTTTTCCCCTTATTCCTCAAACAACTTAGTATTGAGGAATTTGTCTTCTATTTCACTGATTCTTCTATTGATTTAATTCTACTCTGTGATCTTCATTGAGTTGTTTATATGTGATATTTTATTATTAAGCATCTGAATTGCTAGTTGTTGATTTTGTATGATTTCTGTTTTTCTATTGAGTTTGTCAGTTTGTTCTTACATTGCTTCCTGAATTTGTGACATATTAGTTCTTCCTCAGAAAGGTTTCCCATCCTTTATTTCACTCGTTTGCTTGAGCCATCATATTCTGTCAGTATGATTTGTAATTGACTGCTGTTTGCAACACATTAAAGCTCTATTATTTCTATTTATATATTTCTGTATTGACTCTGTTTGTTTCTTTTTTTTTATTTTGTTTTGATGCATCTGTGGCTTAGCTTTTTCTTTCTCTTTATGTTGTTTACTTTTCTATGTTTTAATTGATGTTTTGTAGTATTAGTCTGTGTGTGACTGCAATACTACCAGTTGGTAGTCTGTATATGGGTTTGATGCTGCCGGTTGGCTGGGTGTGCTTGCTTTTCACTGGTGGGTATGGAAGGTCACGCAGACACTGTGTTCTTCTGTTGTTAGGCTCATGTGACTCATTCCTCTTGGGGGGAATGCTTGGTAGTGTGTTTGTTGTTGTTGTTTGCCGTTGAGTCGGCCCCGACTCATAGCGACCCCTCCTTGGGTTTCCGAGGCAGTATCACTACGGAAGTAGGATTGCCCAACCTTCCTTCCGAGGAGTGGCTAG